AGTAATCAAATTGGAAATACTTATATCACTCCAAATCAAGGAAAAAACTTTCATGTGCATTTGATCTACACTTCAATTGCTTTCTAATAAAAGTTGCAGTTTTCAATTTTAGCTTATGGATAACTGATTTAAAAATACTCATATCTTACAGATTGTTTACTGGTATACCTTATCGATTTTCTACCTCACTGAAAATGAAACTCATAAAGCATTGGTGCTTCGACCTCAAAATGCTGAATCCATGTGGAAACAACATTTCGATAGCAATTTTGGCCGTATCAACGCTCTGCGGAACTATACAGATCAGGTATGGCCGCGGCCATAGAGTTATGACAAGCCCAAAAAAATAAATTTAATAGACAGGGCGAAAGAAAACTACTGTTCTACCATTGATATGGAACTCTTTAAAAAACCGTTAAGAACTTTAACAAACGATTTTTATTCAGCTATCTCTTCGATGTTGGGAGATTGGCGTCGAAGGAGCCCATGTGGGTTGGGAAAGACCATTGTACAAAAAGAAGGTTTGTCACGACAATCTTTCGATTTCACTCGGAAATTTACGATTTTCTCAATTTGATTGGTTTAATACCTAACGGGAAATTCATAATTTATTCTTTACATTTTTGCACTTCTACTTTAAGATCAACGAAAGCATGAGCGATTACAACTCAGCTGTCGGTTTGGACAACGTTTTGACACCTGTATGGACTTTCTGGAATGCTATGTTTCTAGCAGGTAGCAGGATTTGCTCACATTCTTTCATTTACTTGAAATTGTTTCAAATTCACTTTAATTTTTATTCAATTTGATTTGATCCACTACAATTCATTCATTCACTCATTCATTTCTTTTTCATCCATTCACTTATTTAATCATTTACTTAGTCATTCATTGCTTCCAATTATAACTTATCATTTTAGTGACTACCTACACTACAATCGGGTATGGTAATATTACTGCAAAAACAAAATTGGGGAAGTTAGCAGCAATGGTGAGTTCAAGCACCTTGACTTATCAATCGAACATATGGCTAATACTTTTTCCTAGGTGTATGCAGTAATTGGCATTCCCCTCGTATTGATGATTTTGCACAAGTTAGGGCGATTCTTTCTCTTAGCTCTGGAGCATGTTTGGGACTTCCTAATGAGGCGAGTGCGAGGATTTTTTTGAATGTAAAATACTTACAGATTTCATAACTTTTGATGTATGAGATTGACCATCAATTATTCTACAAACGTTTTTCAATATATCATTAAGTGATTTTAGAGGAGCAGAGTACCTATGTTTCGTATCTGGAGGCAGTCGATTGAAACTATCAGAGGAGGAGAGAATCTCAGAGATGCCGCTGATC